ATGGAAACCTAGTGAATGGTTTAATCGAGTTGTTTATAGCGCCGCTCGTCTGGCTTTGCACGATTTTGCTTCTTGTTATTCAGTCAGATGAGCAAGGAGTCTAATTGAGCAGTATATAGATAGTTGCAGTATATTGTAGATTGATACTTCATTTGCAAAGAGCAATTATGTCTATCAGGAAATTGGGTGAAGCGATTACTAAATGAATCTTTTCCAGCCGGAGGATGTCACCCTAATGGATTATGGTCGATTAAATGCCGACGGTGAAGTTCGTTTGGCTGAATCAACGAGTCAACAATGTGGAAAAATGAAACAACGTCACGTTTTTATTTTTGACAAAGTGCTAATCATTTGTAAAGCTAACCGGGTAAGTATACTTATAGCAGGAAGTCATGTAGGCCTACGAACATTTTGAACATAGTCCCCTCGAGTTTCTGTTTTTCTCAGCAGTCTCTCGTCTGCATGTTTCTATGACCACTGCGATCTCACGCATCCCCACCCACTTCGGAGTCTCCTCCCCTCGAAAAAGCCGATCTTTGGGCTCCCAACATGTTTTTTGGGTGTACTATGGCAAAAGAATCGTAATATACCGCGCTGGCCGACGTGGCGAGCGATGCTGAGCGATGCCGCATCGCGAGGAGTTTTCCCGCCTAGCCCCCCTCAAATCTGAATATTAAAGGGACGGGAAAGGGTGTTACTGAAGCGCGCCACCCGTAAGCGGTTCTGACTGAGGTTTTTCATGCTTTTATACTTCCATCACAATCTGGTGCCAATTTGGCGAGAGTTGCACGATTTGTTTTCATTTTTTTGGGTGAGAATTAGAGTTGATAAAAAAAATATGCTACGATTCCATGAGTTTCGCCGCTCCAATCGAAAAACTGACGCGCAGTTTGAATTTCCTGCACCCATTGCCTTGTGACACCCACATTCAAAGTTTCCCGCGCTTATTGCCAGAAGGGCGTCGCGCGCGACGGCACGGCAAATTACGATTCTCTTGCCCGTCTCCCGTTCTTTGCACCGTTCGATGCTTTGGCAACCGCTGTCTGCTAGCTGCCTGCGCTAAAAGTTTTCGCATCAGGACCATGCAGAAAAGTTCAAGTTGTCACGTGATCTCTGCTGATGGAACTTGTTTAAAGTGTTAGTTTTCTAGCTGCTACCTGTTTTCAGAATAACACATATACTTATAAAGCTGCTTATATTGTTTCCGAACTTCATCCGAGTTTGGATAATCCGATGCCCGATGGGAAGATGGGAACGATTTCTCGGTAGGTGTTTGTGCACTTTGAGGAAATAATTTCAAGACACATTCTGCGCTTGCTCAAGTGGTGGAATCCCTTCCTAGGACTGAGGAGCGCTGGTACGCAGCCTGTCAAGGCCAGGGTTTGCCATTGATGCCGCTCAGGAATGCGTGGCAAGTGTGCGAGACCTACAGTAGCCAGTAACTCCGCCCACACTAGGAGTGTAGGTGTCCATGAACCACTGCCCCCCCCCCCACTAGTACTGAGCAGCGTTGCGATCTTCTTTGGTGTACTTGTCGTCCTTGCAGCTGTGTGACTTTCGGGCACAGTTCAGTGCATTCGTGCTGCGGCAAGGCTGTACAAGCGGCGTCACGTACGCGGAATTTGCGCCAGGATCCAGTGATCCAACAGAGACGCATGACAAGAGGTCACCTTGCGCTTTCTAGGATCTTGCCACACTCTGCGTTTCTACTCATCGCGTTGTCAACCAATGCTGAATCAACCGGGCCTAATGGGAGCCATTTTCGACGGTTTCTGCTGCTTTTTTCATATTTCGTTCATTTAGCACTTAAAAATTCACTTCAAGACCCCACTAGTGACAATTTGCGTTCGCTGAATGACCACTTCTTCTTTGAAGTTGGTTGTTTAGTTTTATACTTGAAGTCTCAATTTCAGTAAAATCACATCTGCCAATCAGCATTTATTGTATTTGGTACGAGAGGAGCGGGCGTGTTCTCAGGACTCTGTCAGGCATTTAACCTTAGCGTTCAAAGTTTTGCAACAACGAGAAAAATGGTTAAACCACTTTGAATTAGCTCGGTAAGCTGGCTTAGTTCCTGTATTTGATGTTTTGCTCAGGTATGTCTAAGTTGTATAACAGATCTTCATTAAGGAGTAACGTCATACCGGAACAAGTAGAAGGAACCGGTCACAAAGTGCACTACAAGAGTTTCAAAGTAGACGTGCCTTACAAATGTACTGTATGTGAGAAGTTCATGAAAGGACTGTTTTTCCAGGGCTATAAGTGCGAAAGTAAGTTTATTAGATAGGTTGACAGTATTCACCCTTCACTGCTACCCTCTTCTGAATTCAGACCAGATTTTGAGCGAAGTTTTTCTTTCTAGAGTAAATTTGGTCAAAATGTTGTTCCGAGGGGTTGTTTGACCCCGAGAACACGTGCGTCGTATCCGTTTATTGCTTGGCTTCTGCTCCACGGGCGCCAGCACAGCAGGTTTAGTTTGTATCATCGCAGTCAGTGGGGGACGGCGTGAGGGAGGTGGGATCAGCCCGCTTCCGACTGCCTTGCTCCACCAATGGCGATAGAGTGGTGATTTATTCAGGAAGAAAAAGCGCAGGTGGGGGCGAGTGACTGCAACCTCGACTGAGCTTGTTATTACCAACCACTCCTGGCGAGGCGTTCTGTTGCGCACACTTCTCTACGCGTTTCACGCTAAGCTAATGCGATATTCATGTTGATCTCAAGCTCAACATACCTCTGGGGACAAGTTTTCAGCAAATGCGACATCTGAGGTGTTCAGCGCCTGTAGCGCGAATATCAGGCGACTGCGCAAGCAGTTTCTCGTACTCGTCTCATTCAGGGTGGTTCATGGGAACCCTGGGTGACAAAATTTTCAGCCAAATCTATCGCCTAGAATAGGTTCTGATCAAAAATTGGTCGATATTCCGAAGAGTTTAGGGTATAAACTGCGTCGCGTTCATACCATGACGAGTTTGAGAAATGGCGAAGAGTGCATAGGAAAATACTAGGTGAAGAAAGGTTGCCACTGTTATGACTTTTTTTTATTTTTATTTCTACTCAGTACATGCACAAATTGTAGGAGATTAGTCACAAATTCCTCGTCCATAGTCACCTACTTACAGTCTCTACCGGATGACAGTTAAGTATTCCTTCTTCTTAGAACTAGGAGCTAGTGAGTAAGACAGCGGTTCTCGACTGAATCTGTCATCTAAAGTTCTGAAATTTTCTTGGCCTAAGAAAGCCTTAAGGAGGCTCGAGCAGGAGCAGTCCAAGGACTATCGTCAGAGAGTATTGAATATGCGGGACTTGATCTCCCAGCCTTATCTCCCTAATGATTGGTAGCTCTACATAGAGATATGGGGTCTTCGCTCGCTCTACGAACGAGGTGCCCTGAGGCTAATCTCCGGTCAAATGTTTCTCCAGGGACAGTGTTTTTCCACCGGCGTTTCAGGAGGATTGAGCGGAGACAAATGGTAGCGGGACCATCTCTGTTCTTTACACGCAGCACTGTTCTGCAGCATCCTCTTCGCGTCCAGCAGCAGCACAGTGAGACTTCTTTGAATACATTCCGTCTGACTTTGAAATGAACTCTCCTGAGAGATGAACGCATCCTACTGTGTGGGTTTTGAAATCACAGAGGGTCCACTATCATCTGCACTGAGCAGTTTCCCAAGAATCCACCTATTGACGAGGTCCCTCGGAGAACGGGGATACTGACAAGGAGTACCCGTGTGGCACAGAGCGTGCATCTGGTTTCAAGACATGAGTTATCCGTTAGCTAAGTACCCTTATATCGAAAGAATAAAAGTCAAAAGAAAAATGAAAAGTACAAAAAGACCGATTTAAAACTTTCAGTTTAGCTACACCCCAGCTTAAAGCGGTGTGGTAGCATCCGGATCCTCCTTGACTCTTTTGAAAGGTGGTTCTTCCACTCCGTCGGGGCCGTTTCCAACAAAGTTTATTCTTCGAGGATGTTGTCTTCTTTCGCGGAGCGAACAGGCGTAACCAAGCAGAGATGGAAACAGTCAACGATGGTTAGTAGTGTCCTCCGCTAATGCACTGCTGATGTTGCGGACAGCTGCCGCTGCTCCAGTGCCGCGGGGCCACTGATAGAAGATGATGACCTGAAGATACTCACAGTGAACTGAACATCGTAATCGACCCAGAAGGTGCAGCGCCTTCAACACAGACTCCTAGGAAAGCTTCCTAAATGTAATAAAACAAACATGGCTGTTACGCCGATGTTCGATGCATCAAGAACCGAATATTGTGTAGCCTTTTCAGAGAACACTATCAGGAACTTTTCCTTCCAGTAAAACCGAGTAAAAGAAAGGATACGTATTGATTTGAAGAACCGTGGAATTGGAAGAAGTGCAGAAAAGTATAGGTATCGAACCTGAAGAAATTACCAAACTGCGGATAGAATTAACTTCATGTATTTATTCGAAAAACCGCGGAAAACGTAAGATAATGCGGAAATTTGCAGAAATCCGGATATTTGCCCAAATCGCATTTTTTTCCCATTGGCGAGGCTAAGCGATCATTCCCTATCGAGTCATTGTCCGTTTTTTGGCAGTTCTGGAGAGTTCCGCATTTCTGCATCTATCCCAGCTCGCTGTTTTTCGAATCAATACATATACTTTCTACTGTCCGTAGTTTGATCACTTCTTCCCAAGTTTGCTTGTATGATATGCGGCCTAAAGCATAGGTTGTGCCCATATGTTTACTAGTATTGATAAACTGGTTCTTTGCCATTATAGGGCTTTTTGTTGTTTCAGATTGTGGTGGTTTACTGCATAAAGCTTGCATAGCCCTACGGCCGTGTGTAGGTCGACGCCACACGACTTCGATTTCCCACAGCAGTTTCATTCACGAATGGCCGACTCATGCGAAGTGCTTATGCTCTGTTATGGCTGTAAGTAGTCTAAATTACTAGTGTGCTTATTCTCGTCTGCTCTATTAAAGACAATAGGCACGATAGTTGGGGCGGCCGGTTGTTGAAAACATCATTGGTGGAAAGGCGGAGTGGAGTGTGACAAAAACCATCATGCAGCCTTTCCACCAATGCCACTGGGAGCAGCTGACCCACCCCTAGCCATCGTGCCTCTGCCTCTTACTGAAAAAATATAGCTCGGTTCAACTTAGTTATTGGCACAGTTCAAGCGTTCCCTGAGGGATCTTCAGCGGGAGTGTATATGAACTTTTACGAGAGGTTTGTATTATGGGTGTCAGCATTGTGGGATTTACGATGGAGTTTTCTACGAACCTCGGGAAACTTGTTTACTGTGATTCGTATCCCTGTTCTCCACGAGTTGTGGGAAAGTGGAAGAGACGATATATGAAAAACTCTAGGTTTTTGCGCCAAAGGCGCCACTGCCAAGCATGTCACTTCGATAATTTTGCTGAAAATTCGTTACTAAGAATATTTTGACCCTTAACACGATTATCACATCCGCTTAGCGTCGCTTGATGTCAAGCGTATTCATGCTGTGCTAGTGTAATACTCATGTGCAGAGGATAGCTTAGGCAGCGTTCAGACTTCGCGATGGCAGCGCTTCGGTCGCGCGTTCGACGCGATCGATGCAGTCGAAAGCATGCGCATCGATCGTCGAATCGCGCGACCGAAGCGCTGCGTCGCGAAGTCTGAACGCTGCCTTACAAAACTTCTTAACATGTTCCGGACCGCGTGACACACATGGTGTGTCATGAATTCGTCTCTGTGCTGTGTTTTTTTTGAGTTAATTTGGCTCTTCTCTCTTGTCCTAATGTTGTCAAAACTCGTGTTCGGTTACTCGGAAGATAAATACCTCAAAGGTGATTGAGAAGGTTGAGGAAATTACTGATGAATTATTGATGAAAAACGATGAAATGGTCCGGAGACGCGCGCAGAGCGGCGGTACGAAACCGAGCCAGTTTTTCCACAACATTTTCTCCGAGAGCAAATTTACCTTAATACTTTTCAGGGGTTGTTCCTTCGCCCCTGAACACGGATATCACATCCGTTGAGCCCGAAACCGCCCAGCGACAGCACGGCTAGCATTTTTTGACTCCGGTGTGTGTAGCACGGATTCCAAGCTGTCTGGTACCAAGCGGTTTCTTAGGGCACTTACAAGGGAATGGTTTGAACTTCCCATGGAACTTTGAATGGAGACCTAGGTACATCGATAGAGCCTCGAATGCTGATTACGAATATGCAGATTAAAAGTGCTACGGGGACCTCCCAGACGAGATCTGGGTGGTCAAAGTTTGAGTTCTGGCTCGTAAGCGCTGCTGATCGATGCCTCGGCAGTGCCACCGTGGCCTCGTGGTAATGGTCTCGCTTTCAAGTCAAACGCATGCGGTTTGCATCCGGTTGGCGCGAAAATTTTTGCTTCGCTCCGTATAAGAGCTTCAACTCTAATTTTCGAAATTCTTCCGAATTTACGGCCCAGCAGGGCAAGTAGATCAAGTACATCAAGTATACGACGTACTCGATCTAGTATGGATTTGGTCATATCTGCCCTCTCTGAACATATTACCCATCCGACAATTCAAAGTTTTAGCGAGAAATTCGTTCATGGGAGATTTCGACCCCCTGAACACGAATATCACATCCTTCGACGAAAAAACGCTGGCCAAATTGCGATTCTGGGCAAAACTTTGAATTGTCGGATGGGTAATATGTTCAGAGAGGGCAGATATGACCAAATCCATACTAGATCGAGTACGTCGTATACTTGATGTACTTGATCTACTTGCCCTGCTGGGCCGTAAATTCGGAAGAATTTCGAAAATTAGAGTTGAAGCTCTTATACGGAGCGAAGCAAAAATTTTCGCGCCAACCGGATGCAAACCGCATGCGTTTGACTTGAAAGCGAGACCATTACCACGAGGCCACGGTGGCACTGCCGAGGCATCGATCAGCAGCGCTTACGAGCCAGAACTCAAACTTTGACCACCCAGATCTCGTCTGGGAGGTCCCCGTAGCACTTTTAATCTGCATATTCGTAATCAGCATTCGAGGCTCTATCGATGTACCTAGGTCTCCATTCAAAGTTCCATGGGAAGTTCAAACCATTCCCTTGTTAGAGAAAGACGGCGAGACAGACCAGCACCCTTCTGACTACCTGCAATAGTGATCCTTCTTTTTGCTGAGAGGAAGGGTATTCTTGCGACGATGCCTGTGGCGCGGGCGCCAGAGGGTTTCATATCAATTGGTTGCGATATTCGTGTTCTCGGTGGCAAGGTACCTCTGGATGCCAGTTCTTATGCAAACCGAAGTTCTGAACCGAACTCCTAAACTGGGGCAATGGAGGGTGGATGGGCCAAGTGTCCATCACCATGCTTGACCCTATGTTAGCAATTTAGTTGGTGGCGCCCCAAAGAGGACGTCCCTTCCCCCGTCCCACACAGGTCGGCGGGGATGGATCGACGTTTTTTGGAAGAGCTGGCGGAATTCTTGAAAATTCAGTTTGTAAGGTAGCTTTCAAGAAGGTGGTACTAGAAAAGGAAATTTGGGGGTGGGGAGGGTCGTGCTGATTTCGCTGTTTCACCCATCCCGATTCTGTACCTAATACAAGCTTTGCCTGAAGAAATATGATAGCTGATTGCATAATACAGTGGAATCCCACTACCATATTATAAAAGTGGTTACCATTTCATAGCATAACAACATAACCATTTCTTGTACTAGAATGTCGGATGTAACTGTAATTTGTATAGTGTCAGCCGGCGATCAAGTGATAGCGTTGTCTCGATCCCCGATGGAACCAGGGTTCTTGATATTCGACAAAGATGACATTATAGAGATCGTTCAAAATCACGGGAATGGCACGTTTACGGTAAGAAGTTGCAAATTTGCGTATGCATCTTACAGACCCTGCAGCTTGCAGATATTCCCATATATCCCACATTTTCAGGGTATCTTACTGAATGATCGGCAAAATCCTGGTCTAGTGCACAGTGAACATGTACGGCGAGTGAGGGTTAGTCAGCGAATAGCGTTTTTGTTTAATTCCAGAGTAATCAATATTTTACTTGAGAACTATAGTTCAAAGCTTTAGACAAACTCTGTGCAAGGTATGAACTCTCCGCTGGATAGTCCGGCCAGTTTCCGTATCGATCGGAAAGAATCAACGGTCCTTCCGAGGCGAATAATGGGTAACGGGTGAGTGTGTAGCTGTTATCAAGGCATTATTCTACTATTACTACTTCAAAAACTCGAAAGAATTTCTCGCTGAAACTTTGCCCTCAGTGGTTATTCAGTGCCCTGATCATTTCTAAGCTAGCCATTTGGCGCTATCACCTTTCTCACCAAAATCGATGAAAACTGCCATACGGAGTTATTTGAAACCCTGATCACGAATATCACAGTTGTTTTGGAGGTTGGCGCCATTTGTCGTCAACAGGCGCCAATTCTGCGCCACTATCTTCCTTGATGAAAAGTGGGCAAGAGAACCGTAATTTGCCGCTCCGCCGCACGCGGCGATGGGCGCGGCTTTTTCTAAATTCATATTAGCGTGTCGATTGGGCACCAGGTTTCACAAAGGCTACAAAACTGTAAACATTTATGACCATTTTGGGTTCTACCTTGCCTGCTGTCGCCACATGCGACCTGGAACAATCGGCATTTGCGGGCGCGACGTCGCAAGCGACGCCCATGCCTGCGGCGAATTACGATTCTTTTGTCACGAACTTACGTAGGGCATTCTGATCATCAGCGCTCCGCTAAGGTTGAGCCTGGCGAAAGGATATAGTTCCTTCTTCCAGGCTAAGTCTGAGCAAAAACGAACATTCCTGGTGTCGAAAATGCATATGGTTACATTCCTGATCAGAATGTCAAATTACCCCCGTATAGAAGTTTCCATCGATTCTGGTGTGAGGAGGGGGGTAGCGCTACAATGGCGCCGACTGGTGCTAGCGCCAAAAATAATGTCATATTCGTAATCAGGACACCGAATAACTTCTATAAGCTGAGTTTTTTGCGGGAAAAAGTTGAGAAATTCTCTCGGAGGAGTAGTAGAAGTGGAATGTAGTGCCGTTATCAAATATCATTTTTTAAAATCCTTCTCGTATCCTCTGTCCTTCTCGCTGAGTCATCCCGGGATAGTTGTGTCTGTGCAGAATACACAGCTGCGTGACTAATAGCGCGATTCGTTTCGATAGTGCTGTGCTGTGATGATAAATGATGTCGATTATTTGAGTGTACTACGTGTCGTTGACCAGACGACTATAAGTACGTTCCGGAATCACTCCCTAATGGCTTTTCTCTGAATCATTGGGTTACTGGTTGTCCCACTTGCAAGTGGCCCCCTGCGACCAGTCATTTCTTTTATAGTGTCTTTAGGTTATTCGCTTGTCAGTGTTCCGGGCGCTTTGTCGAGGGGGGGCGGCATTCTGCAACTTTATCATTGGCTTTCCTCAGTTCCGGTTACATGTCTCACTCTGGCGCAAACCTGATGAGGGGGGGGGGGTACTTTTGTAAAGTTGGAACCAGAGGGTAGTCAAGCCCGTCATGTTGAAGCCTGTCAACTCTGCGAACGAGGCTGTCTAGATAGGCGCAGACGTACGCATGCGGAAGTACGCGAAATTGCAACCCCCCCCACCTCCAGTCCTGACTTGAAGACAGTACCCGCGCTCAACCAATTCATAGGCGTCCTTCTTGGTACAAGCAGTGTGGTCCTCAAGATTGCCCATTCGTGGCTCCACAGTACAGCTAACGGAAGCCGCGTATGGAGGCGTTACGGCCGACGGCGGGGGGGCGGGCAAGCTGCACTATGCTTCTTCCATTGGGCGTGTTCGACTTACTAGAAGGAAGCTCGTTCGTTTACCATGCACTGTTGGCTCGACGAACTTGCTCGCAACTTCACAAGATTGCCGCAGTGATTCTTAACAGAGTGAGACTTGTAAACCAGAGAAGTAGTGAAGCAACGGAAGTGCAAAATGCCCCCCCCCCTCGTCGCGGAAGGCCCTCAAGAGTGGCAGTTCTGACGCCTCCAAAGTTGGCCTGGGAACAATCATTTCTGTCTTGACAGCGGTACTGTAGATTTCTGCTCTTTCGTAGTATAACCCCACTTCATTAAAGCTTCAGTTCTATAAGTTGAGTGCCTATAGGTTTCAAATACAAAGAGCGAATCATTTCATTGGCAGAAACCACCATTTTTCCTGAGGCCACTGTCACTCGATTTACTGAGTTCGCAATTACGACCAATCTTTTTGTCCGATGTAGAGTGCACACCCTCGTCAACGACACCGGCCTTTACGGCGACTCAATACTACTTTTCTGGTAGATGATTGGAGCGGAGGGAGTTGGAACTGAGAACTTGAACTATCAGAAATAGTAGTTTTGCGTTTTGCACCCTTCCCCCCCCCCCTTCCACCCGCCCGCCCCTCCACGGCAAGTTTTCTGGACACTTCTCAAGCAATTCGTAGGTGTCCTTCCTTGTACAGGTAGTCTGGCCCGCAGTCTCTGAGATGTCCTACTTTCACGGTTTCACAGGAAGTGAGAAGAAGCTATGGCCCCTTTAAGTGGCAGTTCTGACGCCTCCGCACTTGTCCCGGGCTGAAACTCGTTCAGAAAGGCTGCCAGTTCTTCACTGAGGGTGTTCTCCATGATTTCTTTTTTCTTTTTCTTCCCCGAGCACTTAGTGGTCATAGGTTTTGCCATCGCGTGGTTGTCTTTAAACCGACGTCGTTCTGCTGATAGTGGTTCTTGGTTCGGCCTTCCAGTTCTTGCAGCACTTCCGGTGTCCAATCTTTTTTCCACGATGCTTTTTTTGCTTTTTAAAACGCAACAGTCGTGAGTGTTTAAGGTAGTCTTTCTCCCTCTTTTCTCCCAGTTAGTTACTTCGTACGTGCTTCTCAGGCCCCTAGAAAGTGGTTCCACTATCTGAGTTCCACTTTTCGATGTTTATTTAGGCAGTTTGACGTCAGCCTAATCAGTCCAGTTACCTGTACATTACTCAAGGCTGCTTTAAACCTTGAACATCGCAATTGCACTTTGTTTACCTTTTTATCAGTCATTATTGTTTACTTGTAATATCTGACTTGTAGATTATCAGTAACCCAATAGTGTGGACACGATTTCGAAAAAAAACGTTATCAATTCCAGTATGACGCCAACTCCTCAGCAGGACTATGTGAACACGGAAGTTAGCCTTCAGCCATGGTATATGGGCGATTTGGAACGATCGGAATCTGAAGCGAAATTGCGAGGAACACCGAACGGGACATTCCTCGTACGATACAGCAAGAACCGGAGGAGCTATGTTATCAGTATAAGGTAAATGAATAAGAGTTTTATCGGCGCCGTTCGGCTAGGGAGGGGCATTTTGCACTTTCGCTGCTTCCCGTAGAACTTCCGTTCATTGCTTTACAAGATCTGACAGATATTCTTCACAAGAGCTGACAATTAGTTTCTACAAATTTTGACTGGTATTACTTCATGGCTCCACAAGATTTCAAATCTTTACTTGGAAGCTCGATACGGATATGAAAAGCACTAAAATTGCTCATTCCCCTCCCTTCCCCTAGCCAAACTGCGCTATTTTATCTCTTTTGGGTCTTGGATAATCCTATGGATTACTGGCTAAACACAATATAATTACCAATTGTA